CTGGAATGGTAAGGCACCAAATATCACGTCAACCATTCTGTGGCCCTTTCTAAACCCACACTGACTCTTGAGTAGATGACCATCCTTCAGAAAATTAATTAACACCAAAAAAGTGGAGGTCCTCTACCAGCCAGCACCACACCATCCAATATGGTCACAGTAAATGGAGAAATTTTGAATGCTGTGGTTAAGTTCACTTACTTTGGCAGTACACTCTTCTGGGATGTCCACATAGATATGAGGTTGATGCAAGTATTGCCAGAGCTAGCTTAGCATTTGATAGGCTCCAAAAGAAAGTGTGGGGGAAAAGAGGTATCAAGCTGTCTACTAAATTGAAGGTCTACAGAGACCTCATGATAACTAAATTGTTGTATGACTATAAAACCTAGATGGTCTATCAGCACTGTCCCAGAAAACTGACCTGCTTCTACTTGAATTGTCTTAGGAAGATTCTAAAGATTACCTGGCAAGATAAGGTACCAGACACTGAGGTCCTCTTTAGAGTTGAACTGCCAAGCATTCAAACTCAACTGCAGAAAGCATAACTTTGATGGACTGGCCATGTTGTTTGAATGCCAAATGCATGCTTACCCAAAAGACTATTTTATCAAGAACTCACACTAGGTAAGCACTCACATGATAGTGAGAAGAAGCAGTATAAGGATACTCTTATATCTCTGAAGAACTTTAGTATTGATTGTGAGACACAGGAAACACTAGCATAGGATTGTCTAGCATGGTATGCCTGGATCAAAGAAGGGGTTGTAGTCCATGAGCAAAGCAGAATCATAGAAGCAGAACGGAAACATGAGCTGTGCCAATACAGAGCCACTTCCACTCTAAATGTTCTAGCAGTCCACTTGTACCTGGTCTGTGCTAGTGCCTTCTGAATTTGTATTGGACTGATTGGCCACAGCTGAACACACTGTACATTGTGATGTCATTGGCGTTCTTTGAAAATTAAGGATGAACAACAACTAACTATATTTCCCTCCATCCAGTTTCTTGTTTCTTATTTCTCTCTCTCTCTCTCTCTCTCTCTCTCTCTCTCTCTCTCTCTCTCTCTCTCTCTCTCTCCCCCCTGTCTCTCCTCAAAACTCCATTTTGCTTCTAACCATTGGCTCCCTCAATTCACTCTCCCTTTTTATTACCCCCACCCATATCTCTTATCTCCTTTTCCATCTCTTTCCCTATTGGGTAAGGTAGATTTCTATACACAACTGATTTTGTATATATACCTTTCTCTTTGAACCAGTTCAATGACAGCATTGCTCACCACTCCCTCATTTCCCCCTCTACCGTAAAAGCTCTTACTTGCTTGTGTACCTCTTTTATGTGAGAAAAAATTTCTGCATCTCTCTTCCCTCTTCTCCCAGTGCCTCTCTTTTTCTCAGCCTTACATTTTTTGAGACATCACAACATAATCAACTCATTCTTGTGCCCTCTGTCTATGTAGACTCTTTTTAACTGCCTTAATAATGATAAAGTTCCTTGAAATTACATGTATCATCTTCTCATATAGGAATGTAAACAGTTTAACTTTATTGAATTCTTTATGATTACTTTTTCATCTTTTCCTTTTTGTGATTATCTTGAGTCTTTTTGAATGTGACATATTTTCAGCTCTCGTATTTTCATTTGGAATGCTTGAAGTTCCTCTATTTCATTAAAAATGCATTTCCCTCCCTGAATGATGATACTCAGTTTTGCTGGACACGTTATTCTTGGTTATAATCCTAGCTCCTTTGCCTTCTGGAATATTTCAACCCCTCTATTCCTTTAATGTGGAAGCTGCTAAATCTTGGGTTATCCTGACTGTGGCTCCACAATATTTGAATTGTTTCTTTCTGGTTGATTGCGATATTTTCTCCTAGACCTGGGAGCTTTGGAATTTGGCTATAATATTCTTGGGAGTTTTCCTCTTGGGATATTTTTCAAGAGGTGATCAGTGGATTTTTTCCATTTCTATTTTGCCCTCTGTTTTAAGATATCAGCTGTTTTCCTGAATTTCTTGAATTTCTTAAAGTATGATGTCTAGGCTCTTTTAAAAATCTTTTTAAAAAAATCATGGCTTTTAAGTAGTCCAAAAATCCTTATTATCTCTTCTTGATATTTTTTCCAGGTCAGTTATTTTTCTGTTGAGATATTTCACATTTTCTTTATTTTTTTCATATTTTGACTTGGTTTTATTGTTTCTTGATTTCTCATGGAGTCATTAGCTTTCATTTGACCAATTCTAATTTTTAAGGAATTATTTTTTTTCAGTGAACTTTTGTAGCTCTTTTTCTATTTGTCCAATTCTGCTTTTAAAGGAGTTCTTTTCTTCAGTGAATTTTTGTACCTATTTTACAAACCTGTTAATTTTCTTTTCATAATTTTCTTACATCACTCTCGTTTCTTTTCCCAATTTTTCAGCTACCACTCTTATCTCTTTCTTTAACTTTTCCAGGAATTAATGCTGGGCTTGTGTTCAATTAGTATTTTTCTTTGAGGCTTTGGTTGTAGCTATTTTCATGTTGTTGTTTTTCAGATTGTCTTGGTCTTCTCTGTGACTACTGTACTAGCTTTTCATAGTCAACTTTTTTTCTCTTTCTTTCTTTCTTTCTTTCTTTCTTTCTTTCTTTCTTTCTTTCTTTCTTTCTTTCTTTCTTTCTTTCTTTCTCTCCTTTCCTCTCCTCTCCTCTCCTCTCCCTCTCCTCTCCTCTCCTCTCCTCTCTCTCCTTCTCCTCCTCTCCTCTCCTCTCTCTCTCTCTCTCTCTCTCTCTCTCTCTCTCTCTCTCTCTCTCTCTCTCTCTTCTCTCTCTCTCCTCTCTCTCTCTCTCTCTCTCTTCAAATTTTCCCAATCTATTTCTTCACTTTGAACTTTATGTTAAAGTTGATCTCTGTTCACTGGGGTTGGAGAGGCACTGTATCAAGCTTTTGGCTTTAAAATTCCCTGTTTTACTTTTTATTTATTTATTTGCTAGGCAATGCGGTTAAGTGACTTGCCCAGGGTCACACAGCTCATAAGTGTCAAATGTCTGAGCCTGGATTTAAACTCAGGTCCTCCTGACTCCAGGGCTCGTGCTCTATCCACTATGCCACCTAGCTGCCTCCATGCTGCTGTTTTCAAAGCCTGTTCTGGGTATCTTGCAAGTTTTTGGTGCTTCCAAGGTGGTGTCAGCCTGGGAGAAGTATGTCCACTGCCATCCTGGTCTGTGCTCTGGTCTTTAATCAGGAAATTGCCCTGCTTCCTTGCAGCCACGAGTACTAGTGCTTCTTTTGGTCCTGGAATTCTAACTAGGTCCCCTGCTCTCCTGCAGCTGCAAGTGTTAGTGCTCTTCTTTCTCCACCTTGGAACAGTTACCAAGGTACTTGTTCCCTTGTGACAAATCACATGTGCTCCTCTCTGATCTGGAACTGTGACTCAGAACTGCTTATTGACAATAGGATTGCCAATCTGTGTCAGCTGCATCCAATGCACAAAATCCCCTGCAATCTCTTTCTAATCAATTATCTGACCCCACCCACCCCAGCCCCCCCATCTCTGGTCTGAGAGCTCCTGAAGCTGCTGCTACTGCTATTGAAGCTGTCTCCAAAGTCTCCTACTGTGCTCTGGGCCTTTGCCTACCACAGTTCTCTAGATCTCTCCTGTGGACCTCTTAAGTCATGTTAGCCTGTATGTCTCCCTCTGACCTTTTGTTGGCTCTACTACTGCAAAATTTATTTGAGGCTTTATTTTCAATTAAAAAATAAATTTAATAAATTTAATTTAAATTTTATTTTAAAAAATGTTTGGAGGAGAATGTTGAGAATTTCATCTGGGTCCCAGCCTATACTCTGCCATCTTCACAACTCTTGATATTTTCTATCATGAGTTTACAAAGACATCTTTCATTACTTTTTCTTGGAAGTACTGGGGGAAAAGTAATAAAAACTAGCATCATTTTTATTCCTTAAGTTCAGAAACATTCTCTGTCGAATTGTACTTATGCAGTTATTATCAGACCACCAAGAAGCAGAAAAATGTACCATGTTCCAGTTCAATTGATTGAATCTCTGATTCTCAAATAGGCAGAACTCTCCCCATTCTCTGTGCATTGCCTCAGACTATTCCTAAGAGTCCTCCCTCTCTTTCTTCTCTATTTTAATTCTTACACTTGCTTAAGATTCGACTCTATTACAATTTTTCTCTGGTCCTATTAGTCTATAGTGATCTCCCTCTCTTGGACATGAAATAGTCCTTTGTCTTCCAGTTGCAATGCATTTATTGTAAGCTATTAAGTATTCAGTAGAATGTAATCTCCTTGAAGGCAGGGACAGCTTTTCATTTTTGTCTTTGTATCCATACTACCAAGTCTGGTGCCTTGCACGTAGTAGGTACTTGGTGAATTTGTTGAATTATATACTCACCGTCTTCTAAACAGCTTCACTAGCTGCATATCTCAGTTCCCAGCATAATGACTTGCACACAGTAGGCAGCTAATACATATTTTTAATAGCTGACTAAATGAAAGAATGCTTAGGTTGAAAAAGTTGCTACGTAGGTCATGTTTTTAAAAATGTACAAAAAGATATCTCATTGTAAACATGCAGAACCCCAAGTGAGTATGTTTTGACATGATGAACTAGTCTCATAATCACAAAGCAACAACAAAATATTAAAAACAAATGTAGAGAACAAAATGTGCTTCATTATTAAGGTGGAGCTGTAATGTTATCGTGGTGATGAAAAACCTTACTCTTTGACCCTTTTCTAAGCAAAAGCAATTTCAAATTGCTAGGGGGATTTGTACCTTTAAAAAATTCATTGAAAAGTGAACCATTAGGAAAAATAAAAAAAGAACTTTCTGTTTCTTGTTCTAGTGCATTAAGTCTAATTAAACCTAAGCTAGAACATGGAGATAGAACGTATAGAACCTATGGAAACATCTAAGCCCCCCATAAATTCCTGTGCAAAACAATTCCAACACAGGGGGGAAAATCAGTGCTTATTTTCACCAAAAAGCCATGGCCAGTACCTTTTGAATTCCTGCTGGAGATTCCAACACATTGTTCTCTGATCCATTACTTCGGTTAATCATTCGCCACATTTGGGAATACATACTATCCCTCTCGAAAGGATTCATCCCCTTCATGCGTACATGCTCATAGACTGCAGAGTCCAAGACAGTGCCATAAGGAATATCTGTTTGCCTTGAAAGATCCTGGAGAGACCTTTATTGTTGGGAAAGAAGAGACATGGGGCAAATGAGACAATGTTTGCAAGCAAGATAAATAGGGGATTGGAGGCAAGTTTATGCAACATATGTGAAGACAATAGTCAAGGTACTTGGTTTGTTTGGTTTTTGAAAAAAAAAACGGTGCAAACTATGGGAACTGCTTTTATATTTGTAACTAAAAGGAGAATGAACAGTATAGGCAATTATTTTAAACAATAATCACTTTTTTCAGAAGAGAAAGTTTTCTCGTTTCTACAACAAGCTAAATTAGATGACAGCTAGGTAATAGCTTGAAGTAATTTATCCTTCTGCTGCATTTTACCAGTGAGTAGGCTGAAAGGTGAAAGTTTAAAAAAATATATTATTTCAATATTGCTGCAAAACACTATATGAAGGCCCCAGTTGGGATGTTGAAGTCAGCCCAGTAGAGAGCAGTTTTTGCAATTTTGTTTCATATAGAAAACATGTTTTCAGCTAGAGTATATGCTTATTTCATACAAGAGCTCAAAATCATGCTACAGGGAAACATGGTAATATAATTTTCAGTTAACTGGTACCTTTTTTTATGACTTCTAAGTGGTTTCTATATTATATTTGCTCTAGTAATTTTTTTTTAAAGATGATCTACTCCATATGTATTTGTTACAGGTATATGAAAGGAAAGGGAAATGGAAGTAAATATTTACAGTTTTCTTACTCTTTGAATTTAGCATATCAACACTTTGGAATAAACCATTGTATGGCAGATGTGAACCACTTGCTTTAGTTTACCTAAACTAGTACACCAGGTCATAATCAGGCAGTCAATCCAAGTGGCAGGCCCCGAGCTAAGTACTGAGACTAAGAGAAAAATGAATCATTTCTTCATTGCATTGTTTGACGTTTTTGAAAAATTATTATGCCATAACTAACTATGAGAACACATTCAAACTTTGCTAATACTGGTTAGGAATATTTCAAGCATTCAGCTCTAATGGTTGACTTTTGGACTTAAATGTACATATTAGGTAACCAGTGTTAAATTGGCATGTTACAAAACCTTTTTTATTTTCTGGGTATGAAAGCATGGCACTATGAAACCGTCTACCATTTTTAAAAATAGGGTAGTTTCCGGGAGGCACAAATAGTTCCTAGGCAATGAGATTCATCTGGTAAATACTCCTAATCTCTTTCCTTAGAACTTCTAGATTAAAGTGATTAGTGATTTCCTGAGACTATTATTCCTTACAGTTTGCATTGGAATATGAACAGAGGGGGAGGGAATAATCTTATGGGTCACAAGTTATTATCACAGATAGTAACTGTTTTGATGCACGTTTAACAAATTTCAGGAACTTTCTGTTAGGAAATACTCTTGGAAAGCCTGGTTTCTAATGAATTCCTCCTTCCCAGTAAAATAGCCTGTGCTTTTTAAGGGTTCCATGTAGCTAAATAATTTCCTGTCTAATAATTGTTGTGTTGTTGGGTTGTTTCAGTTGGGTCCAACTCTTTGTGACGCCATCTGGGGTTTTCTTGGCAAAGTTATGGAGTGGTTTGCCATTTCCTCCTCCAGCTCATTTTACAGATGAGGAAACTGAGGCAAAAAAGGTTGTATGACTTGCTTGGGGTCACATAGCTAGTAAGTGTCTGAGGCCAGATTTGAACTCATAAAGATGAGTCTTCCTGATTCCAAGTCCAATGCTCTATCCACAATAATTCCTTAAGTGCACTGATCTCTGCTGGTATAATTATACTTAAACAATCTGCCTTTTTTTTTGGGGGGGGTTTAAAGCAATTGGGGTTAAGTGATGTGCCTAGAGTCACACAGCTAGTAAGTGTCAAGTGTCTGAGGACAGGATTTGAACTCAGGTCCTCCAAACTCCAGGGCTAGTGCTCTATCCATTGTGCCACCTGGCTGCCCCATGCCATGTTTTAAATACTGTAATTTCCCTAAGCTGAAAATGATCCTTAGGCAATGAAGTTCATCTGGTTAATACTCCTGACCCCTTCCTTGGAATTCTGAGATGGAAATGGCTTCTGATTTCCTGACAGACTAATCCCTCACAGTCTTCACTGGGAAATGAAAAGAGGGGGAGAGAATTCTCTCATGGGCTACCAGTCTTCATGGTTCGAGGGAAAATGAGTTTCCACGTGTATTCTCTAGCTTTGAAGCTAATTTCTTTATTTGTAAAAGGTAAACTGAAGTGACACTTCATATAAATAATGAAAATCAAAGAGGAGTAATAAAATAAGCTAGTCTTGGCTGGGCTACAAATCTATACCCTTCTGTGAGGGCAGGTGCTCCTAGGATAAGCCACAATTATTTTGTTATATTGCTTCAATAAGAATTTTGTTTCCAAAGAACAATTTATTGCATGTTCTCTGTTATTTGGAATGGTGAAAGAGAACGTATCAAATATTAACATTTTAACACATTTCCTACTGTCTGGTAAAGTGAAAAGAAGAATCATTATTTTTAAAAAAATAATTCAAGTGCCATACACAGATAGCTGTGTATGGTTATGCTGGAACCAGACATATCAGGGCTGGAAGAAGCCATGTTTGGGTACATTAGGATCTCTGCCAGTGTAAGACTGACCATTTGCTGCCTAGATATTATTTAGAAATTAAAAGTTGCATGATGACTACACAGAAGGCTTTCATTTGGTGAAGTTAATGTTGTGTGTGTGTGTGTGTGTGGTATTTTAAGCTTATTTAATTATACATGTACTTAATTATCATTAGACCCAAAATTTTAATGGTACCCTTTTCTCAGCTTTTCACCCTGCCTCTGCCAAACCTGACACGAAATCATGGTATGGACACTGTGATACCATAATCAATCTTCTGGGAAATGCCTGATATCATAAAATGTCAAATTTGGACTTTATCTAAGGGTAAGAACACAAGGCAGCATCACTGGTGAAAGCTAAATTTCCTCATAAAGAGGTCAGAAATGCTAAAGCACAGGTTCAGATTAGTTCAGCGTTATATGGAACTTCAGAGTGCATCTTATTCAACCTGATCGGTCCTGGAAATTGTCAATTCATTTTTGTTTTGCTCGAGGACCTCTAGGGACAGGAAACCCACTACCTTCCAAGCCAACTCATTCAACTATTGGACAACTGTTAGGAAGTTTTTCGCTACAAATTTAACAGTCCTGTAAGAATTTTATCGGATTTGCTGTAAGTGTGAATTTTATCAGGAATAAGCTGAAGCTAAGGAGTAAAAAAAAAAAAAAGAGGTTTGTTATTTTTAAGCCATTTTGGAATGTAAAGGGAGGATCCAGAAAGGGCAGGATCATCGCTTAGGGTAAAGGAAATGATGACAACTGATGATGGGAAGAAGGGAGACCTAATTAATTTTTACTTAGTTCTGTTTTCTCCTCCTAGGAAAATGATCTTTGAATGGGAAAGGACAGAAGAAAAATGGCCAATACTTGATCCTCAAGATAATTAAGGACATAATATGAGAGTAACTAACTGCTCCAAGAGTAAAATGGATCTAGTCTTTGTGAATGACATCCTAGAATACTGGGAGAACTGGAAGATAGGATTGATGAGCCACTGTCAGGGATATTTGAAAGGCCATAGAGAATGGAAATAGAGAGAGACTTGCAGAAGGGCAAACATGCGCAATTAAAAAAAAAAGAGGGGATAAGAATAAAGTGAGAAACTATAGGCCAGCGCTCTTGAATTTGATTTGTGGCGAGATTCTAAAATTGGCTATTTACATGATGGTAATGAACATTTAGAAAACTATGTGGTGATACCAAAGTGCCAACATGACTTCATCAAGAAAAGATCATGCCAGATTAATCTAGTTTCCTTTCTTGACAGGGTTATAAAAAAGTCAAGAGACTGCTATAGAATTTATCTGGATGTTAGCAATAGTTTCACAAATTCTCATGCTATTTTTTTATATAAAAGCTGGAGAAGTAAGGGCTAAATAAAATGACGTTGGTTAGGAACTATACCCAAAGAATAGCCACTAATAGCTTGATATTAAATTGGAAGGAGGTTTTCAGGGAAGTATCCCAGAGATGTGCTAGTGGACTTAGGCTTTTCATCATTTTTTTAATCAACAAATTGGATAAAGGCATTGATGCATGCTTATCAGATCTGTAGATAACACAAAAATAATAAGAATAGTACACGCTGGAGGAACATGATTTCTGTTTTCAACTGTTTAAATGCTTTCATCCAGGAAAAGGATTTAACTTGTTCTATTTAAGTCTAAAGGTTATAGAGTCATGGTGAGAAGTTGTAGAGAGGCCAATTTTGGCTAAATATAAGTGAAAAATTCTTTACATTTAGAACTGCTCAAAAGCTTATCTGTAAAAATGAAGATGGTGATACCTGTAGTAGTTACCTCATAGGGTCATTACAAGGATCAAATGAGATAATGTTTTGTAAAAGTGGTTTGCAAACCTTAAAACACCATTTAAATGTCAGTTTGTATTATTGTTATAAAAATGGAATAGGTTTTCTCAGTAGGCAGGTATCCCATTAGTGGATGATAACTTCTCAAGGAATATTCTAGTATGTCATTAATATTGCATATCATAGTTTTCTTGGTATGTGATTTATCCCCTAAGTAGACTACCAATGAGTAGAGAAACTAGGTATTATTCTGAATTTCCATCTCCCTCAGCACCTAACAGGGCTCTGTGTACAGCAGTTGCTTAACACATCTGCTAACATATCCAACTCTGTGATTCTGATATATGGTCTCAAGAAAAATTACAGTCTGATTGACTCATCATTTTTCCATTTTAACATACCAAAGACAGCATGAGAAAATCTGAAAGACTAAAGCAAAGGGAAGTGTATGCAAACAGCTTATTGCCACAGAAGAGAACCATGCTTTAGAAACCTGAAACAGAAAACAAGTCCCATTGTTTGTAAAATAACAATTTTGATTCTGATAAGGTTTTAGAGTCTGATCATAAGCTCCTAAAATTAATACCATTGTAACTCAGGTTGTAGTTTTCTCAAAAAAAGCCATTGCTGAAGG